ATTATGCGATATGGGAAATTGCTCCGGACAGCTTCCTCCCCAGGAACCGCTTGCTCGGGATGGCCCACAGCGCCCCAGCTGTAAAAAATGCAGTCCTGAGGCTGGTCCCCGACCGCTACGGGAGAAGCGAAACACGCCCCCAGCCAACCATCCAAGCCCCATGGCGGGGTCACGTTGCGTGGCAAGTAATTCCATACAACTACAATTCCTATGCCATAATTCGACCACCCGGAAAAAGAGAGCACACGCCTAATCAGAGCCAGCGAGGATCTAGGGGCTATCCCTAATCCGTGGCGCCCCTCAGCTGAACGCTTCAGGTCCATCACGTGGAACGGTTCAGCGGGCTGGAGGTCACCTATTCCATGCAACATCCACTTCCCACCTGTTCTTTAACAGGATTGGGGGATAGATATTGAGCCAGTTCCAATCGTATGCAACTATTATATATATGCAACTATTTGCAAATGTTTAAAGTAAGACTGTCAATGTCATCCATCGTTGTCCACTTCGCCTTTGCCCAAGGGCGAGGGAAGGTGAATCAAAACAAGTACAGTGGCGGTGTTACTTTTCAGAGGTGTAAATAGTTGCATATGTATAATAGTTGCATACGATTGGAACTGGCTCAATATCTATCCCCCAATCCTGTTAAAGAACACGTGGGGAATGGATGTTGCATATTAATGATGGTTGCATGGAATACCGGGCGTCCATCCCACTGAACCGTTCAACTTGGTGGGTCGGGGGAGTTGTTGCAAGGTCGACTGGGGTTCGACAAAAGAGTGTCAAAGATGGTGGTTTGGGGTAACCCATGGATCCCCCCTAGTTTAAAAGGGAAGATAGAAAAGAAGTATAAGTTCTGTATTCTATTTCGAATCTATTTCCATGTTTTAGGTTGGTAAAAGATTAATGTTGCATCATAAGGAAAAGAAAGGCCAACCAACCCTAATCCTATGGAAGGATTATTAATATACAACTTAAACCGTTACATAAAAAATGGAAAGATAAATCTAAACATTGAAATAATACCAATTGAATAATTAAAAAATATATCTGAATTCTAAACCACTTGTCTATCGTTCTCTATGGCCATTTCTATGAGTTCACCCATTGATGTTAATTTCAAATGAAATTTAGGATTCTGTTCATAAAACATTCCACATCACCAATAAAAATAATAACATTATAAATTAAATTCTAATTAAGATCAAACACTAGGATAATAACCATAAATGAATATAAAATAAAGACATTATCTAAATATATTCAAACAAACAAAATAATTAAACTTTATACCCCCCATATAAGAAAACAAATTCCAATTAACCAAGCGAAATTCAATATTTGTGAAATCCAAAAAAGCATAAAAAAATGAATAGAATCTTCAGTTCAAATAATGAATATAATAGGTAAAAAATATAGTGTAACAGGTATTTTTTATAAAAAATGTGAAATTGTGTGGTAATGTGATTTTCAGTCCTCCACAGTGCATTTAAAGGTTGAAATCCGTAAGGTGACCTTGGGGGGGGGGGTTGATGATGATGAAAAAAAAATGAGTCATCCAACTCAAAAATGGTTTTTATCGGTATCACAATTGGCATTTATATTAGTTAATGTCAAAATTTAAACATGATATAGTGAAGAAATTATTTTTTTTTGTATTTTTGTTTCATTTATGATGAATTCATAA